TGTCCAGATCTATCTGCTTCCAAGTGGGGACGTTTGTCCAAGTGGGGACGTTTGTCCAAGTGGGGACGTTTGTCAAGTGGGGACGTTTGTCCAAGTGGGACGTTTGTTCCAAGTGGGGACGTTTGTCCAAGTGGGGACGTTTGTCCAAGTGGGGACGTTTGTCCAAGTGGGGACGTTTGTCCAAGTGGGGACGTTTGTCCAAGTGGGGAACGTTTGTCCAAGTGGGGACGTTTGTCCAAGTGGGGACGTTTGTCCAAGTGGGGACGTTTGTCCATCTGTACAAATTCTAGCAGGCTGTCCCATCTGGGAAGTTGTTTGGGAACCCTGCTTATTCCAGTGTTGCAGTCGTGCCAGCACAAGTCCAGTCAAGGGTAAATTACAAGTCCTTCCACAAGTCCGGTCTTAGGTACAAGGGGATGAACACTATTACTAAGTAATGCTTTTGCCACTGTTTAGTTGAATAGCATGTGACTTGACTTGGGACTGGAGGACTTGTGATGGACTTTTCAAGACATGGGAGGACTTGTGATGGACGTGGGGGGACTTGGAGGACTTGTGATGGACTTGTGGTGACTTGTGATGGACTTGTGAGGACTTGGGGATGGACTTGAGGACTTGTGAAGGACTTGTGATGAACTTGTGAGGACTTGTGATGACTTGTCAGGTCATGGGAGGACTTGTGATGGACGTGGGAGGACTTGGAGGACTTGTGATGGACTTGTGATGGACTTGTGAGGACTTGTGAGGACTTGTGATGGACTTGTGTTGGACTTTCGAGGACTCGTGATGGACTTGTGATGAACTCGTGAGGACTTGTGATGGACTTGGGAGTGACTTGCGATGGACTTGGGAGGACTTGGGAGGACTTGTGGTGACTTGTGGGACAGACTTGTGATGGACTTGTGATGGATTTCGAGGATCATGATGGACTTGTGATGAAACTTGTGAGGACTTGCGATGGAGCTTGGGAGCGACTTGCGATGGACTTCTTGGAGGGACTTGCGATGGACTTGACATCAAGACTGTATGACATTCAAAGTTGTCCAGCTTGTAATTTGAGTGGGAAACACTGCTAAACTTCTTAATCTCTCGTTTCAAAAGGAAAGGTCCCATGAGAGCACCAGCCAACCTGCGAGCCACCACCAGGTGGGACTACGCCCCAGACATCTGCCAAGGACTACAAAGAGACTGGGTTCTGTGGCTTCGGTGACAGCTGCAAGTTCATGCATGACCGATCCGACTACAAGTTCGGCTGGCAGCTGGAGAGAGAATGGGACGAGGGAAGTTCAGCAAAGAAGAAGGTAAGGTTTGAAGGTTTGGATGGTGGAAGATGGCAATAAGATTAAGATTGCGGTTGCACCATGTAATAAATGTCTTTTTAAAATTTTGGGGGAGGTTCTGAAAAGAATCGAGGAAACTCCCTTAAAGGGAGTGTACAACATTTGCTTTTGCTGCAATTTTCAGAAATAAATGGAATGGAGGACTACAGTAGTATGTTATAGCAATATATTTTACACTGACTCGTTTCACGTTGTGGGTTCGTAGATGCTGGAAAAACCAAGAAAACCAAATCCTTGTAGTCTGGTTCCCCTGACCCCACTTTAGATGAAACGGAGCAATTATAGACTTTGGGGAATTGTAAGATCAGAGAATCAGTCTCTGATCAGGTGTGTAATCAATTGCTAGAAAATGCAGACGAACTAAATAGGAATATTAGAAGCACTTTTTGAAAAAAAAAAGCCAGTTTTTCTCCAACGCTGGTCGGACGACCAGCATTGTGGAAAAAAAAAAATACAGTTTTTACGGCCACAACTTAACAGGATATTTTTAGAATGTCATTCCCTAACAATCCAGTAAGATATTTTGTGATAATTTGATCATTTGGGTTTTTTTGATGTTTGCAAATGTTATATCTTCCCTTTAAGAAGAAGGTAACACTTATTTCAGACTGGTGTCCTATTGTCATGCCAAACCAAAAATATTAGCAGTGACTCAGGTGGGGGTGTTCACTTACGGGTAGTTCAGGAACCGGATACCCGATTGAAAAAAAAAAACGGGTATCCGGGTACCCGTAAAACAAACCAGCGCCAAACATGCCCAAATTTATCTCGGAAGTTGCTGTTAAGATTATTTAGAAAATTCCGCACGATAATACTACTGCATCGGCGCATCAATACAGCAAGATACAAGTGGTGAACAGTGAGCTTTATAGCTTTACGGTGTAAACCGCAGCTTTCGCAAGCGTCACAAATGTGAAATATGTTTTATTTTCCTATGTGGCTGGTTTTCATTTTGAAAATTTTCCCCACAAATGACTTCAAAACCTTTCTTGTTCATTGTCTGAGAAGTAACTATGTAAAGTTGGTTACGGGTACACGATCCCATAATCTAGAACCGGTTCCTGACATTAACGGTCGGGTACTCGGGTACCGGCGGTCCGTTGCACAGCCCTAGACTCGGGTCAGCCCAAACAAGGGCGGATCCAGGGGGGGTCCAAAGGGGGGCCATGGCCCCCCCCCCCCAAAACGAAACCAATTTTTTTTTTTTTTTAATGTGACATCGCAATAAAGGCAGGCAATGAGTACACCACCATTTTTTCCTCCAAAAACATTGTTAAAGTGGCCTCAGATCGCACCACAGAGCATCTAGAATCCAAAAAATTTTCGGGGCCCTTAAGGCGGGCCCCGAACCCCACGCCGTAATTTTTTGGACCCACTTTTTGGGGGACCAAATTTTTTTTTTGCCCCCCCAAAAATTGTGTTCTGGATCCGCCCTTGAGCCCAAATAGATTTTGGTTATAGACGATGAACTTTACAATATTAATATCCATTTGACTTGACTGTTTATTTGTTCCGAATGACTGCAACTCAGTTGATCTTTCGACGGAGTAGCTCATAACTGTTTTCAAATTTTTCAAACTTTCTTGTACTTTCTTCAAATATTTGAATAATTTTGTACTGCATGACTCTTGAAGGCCAGTCCGAAACGGATGTAAGGTTTTGATGGTTTCCTGTCGGATGATTTAAATTTCAATTTTTGGGTTTTGCTTTTCATCGATATTATGTTATCAATTACAAATGCGCTTAGTGTTTTCTGCGTTTTTAGGAGTTTCTTTAGGTGGGAATAATTACCTTTGAGTTCAATGGTAGTTTCTAACAGGTGATAATTAAGTTTGTTTAATAGGTTTACAACTTTCTGTTGTCAAACTCAAACTGTTGTTCAACTTACGGCAAGGTTTTCTAGAAAGGGCATGTGTTGTTCTGTTTACACTAAATACGGGGAGATGTGCCATGGGAATAATGATGCGGATGAATGGCAAGTTTTTCAAGTAAACGTTTTTTTTTTTTAGATTTCAGTAAATATGAGATTGACAGTGATGAGGATGATGGCCTACCGTTCAAATGTTTCATCTGTCGACAGTCTTTTGACAAAACCAGTTGTTACAAAGTAAGAGTTTGCCAGTAAAAAGATGTGTTTTTTTCTATCGCAATTCACTTTTCAGATAAAAAAAAAAGAATGTAACCTTTTTTTAACAAAGTGGTGTGATAGAAGAAAGATGGTCTTTGTTGTTGTGGTCTTCTTTCAATGAAAGTTTGACACTAAACAAAACAAGGGATTTGAAGTAAATTTGAAGATAAACTGTCTAAACTTTTCTCTGTAATGTTTGTGTGAAATATTTTGTTTATGCCCAGGTGCAAGCATTACTACTGTGAAAAGTGTGCACTGAAACACTACAAAAAGAGCAAGAGGTGTTTTGTGTGCGGCACGCAGACGAACGGTATCTTCAACGTAGCCAGAGGTAATTCTCAGAAGTTATCGACAACATGTAGCTCTATTTAGATCTATTGCCTTTTAATCTATTGCTAGAATATCCAGCTTATTTTGTAAATGGTGTGCTTTATGAGTGTGGCACCCCTAAAATAAAAGTTACAGTATTTATCAGTCTTTGCACTTCAGCACATAATGAAAACAATATTTTCTTGAAGACCAAAAAGATTGTCGGGTGAACTAAGTTTTTTTTTTTTTTTGATTTTCAACAAACAGTGCTGATTGCCAAACTTGAAAAAGACCAAGCAGCAGGGTCACGATGGCGGTCCTTCCCAGGAGACTGAAGAAGATTCTGACGAGGAAGGATGAGCCCATTACATCATCTCTCTGGACTTATTTCTCCTGGACTATTTCAGTACTTTAACTCTTTGATAGAGAACACTCAAAGGGTTGTAATATTTGGCCCAAATTGTCTGGATAATAAAACTGCAAAAAAACATTATGGACACCGTGCGCAAAGATGTCCTCGTGCGGTGGATTTACAATGGACCCTTCCTGCCCGTCAATCAAACAGTGTGCATTAACCAATAAGATCAAGACTTTGGGTCAGGTGATTTTGGGTCAGGTGGACTTTGGGTCAGGTGACTTTGGGTCAGGTGACCACAGTCACTCTGGCAAACTCCATAAACATATAAAACCGAGGATGCCCTCGGGATTTGATTTTAACAATAGAGGTCTTGAATATTGACTGATTCTCCAAGAGGACTTGGAGCTGGCACGAGGATTCTCCGAGTTCCATCTGGTTGATGCAAGCAAAGTTCATCATGTTTGCTATGACTCTGTGCAAAAGTACCTCCTCAACAATAGTGCTCTGGTTAGTCAGGTGGGGAATTGGTACTTTCCTCGCCTTCCACCTCTGTGACTCGAGTTCAATTCCAACTTAGGCCAATGTGGGATTGGGTTTTTCAGTCCCTACCCTATTCCATGTTTTTTCCCCCCGAAACAGACTTCTGACGTCTCCCACCTCTTAAATCGAACATTTTTTCATCATCATGGTCTCTTCTTCATACAGGCTACTAAGATATAGTGGTTGGTGCTCCTGAACAGCATTGTGCTAGCTATTGTTCAGATAATCCATCGCAGAGCAGCTGCCTTGTACAAAAGCGTGCACAATGGTTTCTCCATTGAAGGGGGCCCCGTGAGGGTAACCCTCATGAGTACAGTCGGCGTTCGATCATTACACAGTGACATTTTAATTTATATTTCTAATGTACTTAAATTACTGACTGGTTAAATAAAAGTTGGATGTTCTAGTAGTTGAATAGGCAGAAATATTGGAAATTTGACACCAAAGAGACTTTGGAAAGAAAAAAAAAGCTTTCTGTAAGTTGGCAGTGTCTTAGATTTTTGTTTTCTTTAAACCGTACGCTTTATGAAACTGTATTAAGAATATTTTATTACAAGAAATAAAACCAAGAAATAGTGGTTGATGAATATATTCAGTCGTTGTTGTGCTTATATATCTGAAATAGTCAAGTTATATTGGTATAAATTAAGTGGCTGGAAATTGGATTCTCATGTATTACGTAATGGGCCCTGTCAAGCTTGTTTTGCTGTAGACCCTTTGCAGTCGTTTAAATTCAGTAACAATGAACGCACGAGAGATCTAGAGGTATCTCCCATTTGAACAATAACATGTACCTTAAAGATGGCTGCGATGCAAAGGTTCTATAGATAGGTATTGAGAACATTGGGGGAACCTTTTTCCGATGTTTACCAAAATCACTAGTGTTATTGATTTTGAAGATTCGGTAAACTCACTACGGCTGTGGCTGTTTTGTGGTTTATACACAAAATGTCATGAAACAGTCGTAAACTACTCTGTAAACGGACACAAACATAGTCGGGGGACACTGCAAGTAATGTCGTGAAAATCGATCGCAGTTTGGCTTGGGCACCAGACTCGACATAATTGGGAATTTTCGCCAGGGACTTCTAAACATGGCGATCCGTCGGCTGACGGCGGGGAAACTCCGCTCTCCTTTCGACAGTGTTCTCACCACTTTCCTGCCGCAGGGCCACGAAAAGAACCTCAACAGGCCTTCTACAATGCCGCCACCATTCTGTTCATTGTGCTTTTCTGTGGTGCTGCGGTTGCGGTGTATTTCGTTCTGGAGATTTTCATCAAACCTCTGTTGTGGGCCGTTTTGTGTGGCACGGTTCTGTATCCGTTCAAGTACACGCTGACCAGGTAGGCCTACCTGCATTATTTATGTTAACCTCGATGAGTTGATCATCTGGCTGAGCTGAACTAACTGTGACTAATGCTTTCCAAATGGAATTGTTGTCAAAAAACATGATTTAATGAACATAATCAATTAGTCCTAATCATGTAAATACTTTCTTTAATAAAATTGCTGTTCCCTAACATGCCTAAGACTAAGTCAGTTTTTTTCCGAGGTTTACCCGATAAATAGATGTTGTTAATGTTATAATCATGATAAATTGTTTCTGGCCCGACAATAATTCAGGCATATCTTTTTGGTGCATTATGATTATGGGCGCAGAAGCAACCCAAAATATAAGCGTATTTTCAGAGAAATTGAAAAGATTTTTTTTTTTTCCTTTAAATAATCGGATTTCAAATTGAAACTTCATTAGTACTAAAAGAGTAGTAGTAGAAAACAAATCAAATATGTTGAGGGGCATGGACCGAAGAGCACCTTCAATGTATCATTTTCAGCATATGCAATACTGAAGTAATTAATTGTCAAACAAACAAACAAAAGAAAAAAGAAAAAAAAATCAAACCGAAACAAAAGAAAAAAATCCAAATATATATTTTTGGAGTAATGTTTAACAGCAATCTGCCTGATTTTTGAATGCATAAAGAGAAAAAGTGACTTATTTTTCAAGTAGGAATTTTGTTCATTCTATTCCATTTCTGCCGGCTTAAGACCCTTTTATCTCTCGCTTGATTCCCGTAGCTATGTCAGCGG